TTTGCCAAAAGTTATTTTGTTTTTAGCAACGTTTATTATTGAATAACTAATGTTGTGAATTATGATATTATTTTCTTATTACAGGTATCAGACATAATAGAATTTGCAGGTCCTTATACTGTTTACTAATTGTTTTGGTCAAGTTAAAGTTAAAGTTTTAGTTAAAAATTAATTGTATATTAAAAACATTTTCAAGGATTTGTTCGATAAAATAAAACTCTACGAACACATCAGTCTTATTTGAAATGTTTCAGAAGAATTAAAAGTATTTTTGTGAATAAAAAAAATTATTTGCTTAATTTTAACTCCAGTTTGTTAATATGTTTTCTTATACAACATAAACATTACTTAGTTGTCTATAGAAAGGTACTTACTTATAGATTAAATGCAAGTCGGGCTGTCGGCGTCGAACAAACTGCTACAATTAAGCCGCGACCCGCTCCACTGGAGTTCAACAGTTTTTCTCGTAATTCTATTACATTATTAACTTACACCGTGTTAAAGATCTAGGGATGGGACTGAATTTGTGTTATCGATATTACTCGATAATATTAATATTCATGCTTTACATTACTATAAATAAACATAATTCCGTATACAGAAATGTTATAAAAAGTGAACTTAAATAACTTAAAACTCATCTTTGTTGTGAAAATGAGACATTATTAAGTGAATTTCTTTAAAATCTCATGTGTTGATTAATTATAGATATCTACATAAGTCAATTTTAAACATTTTCATTATTTACCAAAATATGTTGCTGTTATAAAATTTATTGTTTTATTTCTTTCTTATGTTGTGTTAGATAAATTAAATATATGCCTGTAATAAACATTAGTAATCTTAATAACCAGTATCGATAAATAACCTCAGAGTTGGTCACATCCCTAGCGCGGTAGATCGCGACGTCTTCCGCTTGTTCCGCTCACAAGGATCGCTGGCTGAAAACTTTTAATACTTTAACTCGACTCTCACTCAATTTCGCTTAACGCCGTCGTTGACACGCCTCGCCGCCGCTACGATATCGCCTTATAACAGTTTTACAACTGTCTTATGTGGCCGAATTCTAGTTGTTGACTTTGCACATAAACACTTAAGCCAACAGTTTGCAACAATAAAAAGCTTTCAAGAAAAAAGGAGGAATAAATAAACAATTTTAGTAATTGATGTTTATTTGTTTTCTTGAGGTAAATGCAACAATTAAGAAGTTTAAAGATTTCTTTTATTGTATACGAGCTGCTGCCCGCAACTTCGTTAGCGTAGTACAATAATAAAATGTAGACTATAATATGTCCGTCTGTGTCAGGTACCCTTCAACGAAAGTCCCATCGAAATCGGCACAGCCGTTTCGGAGTTAACACGGGACATACGCGGCTTGCGGACTGACAGACAGACAATTTTTTTTAATGCGACTTCTGTAATCAGCAACGCAAATACATCATCGCCCAGAAATCTGAAATTTTTCTTTTAATATTACAAACAGACACTCCAATTTTATAGACAATGTTGCTTCTAAACTTAAAATAAACCGATACAAATTTAGAGGAACGCGAAAAAAGATAAACGATTGGAAAAAAAGAATTGAAAACGTTGAAACAAAATAAAACCCCATCACGACACGACAAATTGATGTCATCCATCCCTCTCCCGCTAACAGTCGCTACATATCACGCCGCTCACGTCCTCGACATTTTTCCTTTATATATTATTAATACATAAGTACAATCGTGCACTCTTCCCGCACGCGGACGACGTATAAATCTGTCCTTTTCTATATTGTTGGGTCTAGTTTTCCCAAGCGACCGAGCCCCGAGGGTAAAACTCCCTAGGGTCGGTATTGACTCTACTATGGAAGGAAAGTTATCTGTACACCTATTGTCGGCCACCCCCTTTACCTCCCCCTGGCCACCCGCTGAAGGACTTTCTTACGCATTTCACGCTTTGTTTTATTTTCCACGAGCTTTCCCGGTTTTAAGTCAATGGCGTTTGTTTGTTTCAATGTTGATTTCCACTTGTTGATATCAATCAAAATTATATACAAATTCCAAAAAGGTAATGTAAACTCACAAGAAAAGTGAACGTAAATAATTCGAAGCTTTATGAAATTTATTTATTGTTGTTGTCAATACATGTTTCGATTTTACAAAGTTTTTCCCTTATTGATTGGAAATTAGAAGGTTTATACATTTTTATTCTCAATAATTTAACGTATTTAAAAACGTATAATATATGTAGTTTAGTGTTCCTTTTAATACCAAAATAAAAAACTTTATCGTTATTAATTCAACAAAATAGACAACATAAAAGTAGTTGTCCGACAATAATCTGCCAATGTCGATCACATTCGTTCACATTAAAATATCCCCGAAAAATAATTCGAGTTAGTGTAACACGACCCGCCCCTACTAATACGATTTAAGGGCGTGCGCACACGGAGCGCTAATTTAGTAATGCGCGGTCACACGGCACGTGGCCGACACGCGTGCACGCAGCTACGATTTGTTCACTTAACTAACTTAGCGCGGGGACGACAAATATGTGTCCGGACAGATAAAAATGTCACTTATCCTTGATGAGTTTACAATATCATATTTCAAAGTGTAGTTTTAGTCGCCATAATCTAGAAAAAACTTACCTTTGGACGATAAAACAATTCTGTCAGTAGCAACTCATTTTGTAAGAAAATATAACCTCATTTTAACAATAACATGCTAGATTATAAGTACATAATAATAATATTTATATTTGTAAGTTGTTGTAACTTTTATGTTAATATGCTATTACAATAAATCTAATTTTACCTTGTTAAAATGAGTAAATATTACAATTTACTAAAAATATTAATGTGTTATTGAGCTGTTTTAATGATATTTTTTCAAACCGTGCCTTATTCATTAAATGTGTTTTATTTTTTTCTCAAAACTCAAAACTATTTTAGTTGTATATTTGAAGAGTTCGTATTATAACCTTAATTCATAAAATCTTTGATAACTCAGCTCAGGTCGTCAAAAACCATAAAACTTTCCTGCCAGGAAAGTCTAAATCGGCATTTATTAAATTATACTACGAGTATTTTCGAACTTTCAGATCTGGGCCCAAAATTATTTGTAATCAGTTTCAGTCTCTGTCCATATCACGTTTCTTTTACATTATAATTGTGTTTGTTGAATTAGTAAATGCTACGAGGGAATGTCATTCAGTCGCGTGGCTACGGCGTAGGCACGTGCGTCGCGCATGGCGCTAGTGTACCGTCTATAAAATGTTAGGCAATTTCACTAAGTTGTTTGCTATTTGTATTTAGGTTGTCCAACAATTTTACTACAATATATCTTAACTATTAAAAATATCGAATCTAAAACATATTAAGATCACATTTTTGGGTTGTTTAAGAGTTTAAGAAATTGAAGCTGTCTAACTTTTTTACTTTCACCGTTGGTTACAACTAACTTTGGTCAAAGACCAGCAAACTAAAATCATTTAAAGTTAAATAAAATAAGCATATATGCATCCAGACCCTTTAAAAGCAACTAGAAATTATCATAATTAATTTATATTTACAAAAGAGAGCACTCGCAAAATGCTAGTTGCCTCTTTTTATGCTAATTCGTGTAATACAATCCCCATTCTTCGGCGGCACAATTAGGAGCAGCGATAAACCCATGCATTATCTAGTCACCGTTAACAATAGAAAATATTACCCTTGGAAGAGTACAAAAATAGTTAGTATAATATAATATAAAATTACAGTTGGGGTCCGAACGTTAGCATGTGTGAAATCACAATGGTGCCCAAGTATTTTGTGATGGTGTTTTTGTTTGGATCACTTGTATGATGGATGGGCCAAATCACTTGTAATGTAATCCTTGTTTGTAATTTCCAGCCATATCTAAGATTGTTAAATCTAAAAGTGTTTATATTATTTTTGTCTCTTCTGTCCAGTTAGTCTCGAGCGTCGTAATAACTGCTATTAGTAAAAAATGTTTTATTTAAAAGGAATCAAATGAAACCATTTTTAATTTAATATGTAGTAATTTAATTTGGTATCTTGTGATAGTTTTGTTTGTGAACGATTACAATTTACATATCTTATTTGATATACAATTGTTTAAATATAACTACATACAATATTCGGAGGAAATCCTCCAATACGTTTTCCGTACTGAAAATATTCAAGTAAATTGTTGCGTAAGTTTTTTTCCTTTTATTTTTCTATTTCGTATACAGGATTCATTATTTCGTTGTATTACACAATTTCAAATACATTTTTACTTTGTAAACGATATGTTTCGAGAGATATGATCAATTCTGATATTTACATTCGATGTTTTTAAGCAAAAAGGGAAATAATAAAACTAATTAGTTACATTAGAAGTTCAAGGATTTACGATTACATTAAAATTTACAAACGTCTTACAATAAATATATCACAGACTTTACAAAAAAACAAAACATCGACATGAATTAACAGCGTTATGAGATACTTTACATGAGTTTAATTCGAAATCCTGAGCAGTTGAAGTTAAAACAGGGACTCGTTTATAAAAATCTACACCATCTATAGATCTAGCAAATTAACTATGAATTAACCTTATATTTTACAAAGTTTTCGTATTTACAAGAAAATTACAAAGTTATTTACATGTTTTACAATTGCTGCCCTGAAGTAAAATAAAAGTGATCCCTCCACCTCCGAAATTCTATTCATTACCTAAAGATTTTTAAAAAATCATGTTAAAAAACCTTAAGATTCAACAAATGAAGGTTTAAAGGCTATTAAAATAATATAGATACAATGTTTTCGTTAGTTGGTTACAGTTAAGAATCTAGTTTAGGTATCTAACTTTTAAAAAGTGTTAAATATTTATTACGAATCTGAAATGTAACTTTAATCGTCATATTACTCGTTTGCGAAATGAAATACAAGTAACTGTTGACTTTAAACAAAAAGTTGCATTTCAAACTTAAAGAGGAAGACACAAAAGTTATACTTATTGGATATTTTACTTGGAGGCTAGAGGTGCTGTTTGTGCATATTGCTGCGCGCTGCATGTCGGCAAAGAGAACGGGTTGACGCTGAACGGAGACGACACCAACCCGCCCATTCCTGCAACAAAACATAACAATGTAGTCTCTCGGTATTTCCAAACCAATTGTTGCAATTATAGGATAGCTAAACATCTTATCTTTCACGCACAAAGATACTGCATAGTAGAAGTATAGACGCAGAATAGTGTGGTAAATAAAAAAAAACAAAAAAAATTGGAGCACTACTAACACTGCACTAAATGTTGGCAGCTATGTGCTCTGCTTTACAGCCGCGAACGCGCTTCTTAGCGTGGCCTCTTTACACTGTTGCCCTTTCATATGGCCGGGGCTGCATTTTGTATGACTGTTTGCTTGGAGGTCGTCCGAGCATTTCTCATTCCTTTCATCGTAATGGACGGTATCTTTCGAGTAATAAACGTCATAGCTCTGATGGTCAGCTATTTGTCCATTTGCACTCGGATGGTAAGGTCCTAATGACACTGGGGTGGGAGAAAAAATAGGTTAACTTAAATAAGACTTGAAAGAAAAAGACATTAAATGTAGATTTAGCAGAAACAGGAATTTGTAATCATATTATGACTAATGGAGAGGTTAACCTAAATGTAAACTGAAGGCAGCTTAGATATATGCTAGTTGGTAAAAACAAGAAATTGCTCACTTCAAGGATAAAATCTACATCTATACTGTTATGATAAAGCGTAAACACACACTTCTTTGTTGCCTAAAATGTCAGCAGTTACAGCATATTTTTGAATAATACTTTTTTGAATAAAAAGCCCTACAATTACGTGACGCTTTAGGCTCTATATTTTAATGCTATTAAACTTAGGGGGTAAATATTTTGGATAAAAACCCTAATGTGGGAAAGAGACCATAAGTTGCTGACAACATCAAGGAAGCAAGGTTGTCATCATGTCTTGTCATTTTGATATTTGCAATTTCATAATTTTCAAAATTTCATGCGGATGAAGTCGCACAGGAACAGCTAGTTTCTAACATAAAATATAAGTATAAAAATTTGCAAGAACTACTTATACTCACGTGAGGTGGAGTTGAAGAGCGAGGTGGGCGGCGCGTAGTGCTGCGCGTAGTGCGGCGTGGCGGCGCCGGCGCAGTACCGCGGCGACACCGATCCGCCGCTGCGCGCGTACTCCTCTAAAAGAAATAGCCTGGGGTCAACAACAAATTATGTCAGGACCAAATGCGATACTATTTTACATTAATAGATTTAATTCTGCTAAATTTATATCCCTCGTCTTGTATTTCGTATATCATAGACATCCGCTGTACTATAGGTCGCTGTCAAATGTTCTTCCACAAGTTCCACAGAAATCTGTGGTTATTTTGTGATCATTCATGCTTTAGTAACACCAGATTTAAAAGACTGCATCTTAATGTAAAGCTAAAACAGTTTTAATTCATTCCTTGATGCCATACCTTCAGTCCACTGGTGGGGTGTGGCGTCCTGTGCGTAGGTGTTGAAGGGTGCGGAGGGCGGCGGCGTTCGCGGCAGCAGCTGGTTGTTGCGCGGCATAGAGTACAGCGCTTCCGCTAAGTCCGCCGCTCGTTTCAGGATTATCTCCTATAGCAAGTAAGCATTTAAAATTAACTTACTGCCACTGTGAGTACGTTATGTGGTCACTAACGGAGCACTTTTATGTATCAACGTCATCATCATCAGCACTAGCTCATTATACTCTGATTATACCGAAGTGCTCTGAGCTTACCCTGATATAAGGTGCCTAGACTAGACCATAGTCAACCACGTTGGCCCAGTGCGGGTTGGTGGACTTCATGCATATATTTTATGTATATTCAGTTTGAAATATACTCATATTGAATAATTCTATTTTAAAAATTTAAGAAATCTTATTAATGTTTCATACATTTACGCGGATTATACTTGAAAACCTTTTCAAGTTGTCGCTTTAGAGTGTACCTACGTTCATGAAAAGATGTTACTATCTCAAAACGAGCAGGTCTTAGAAAAGTTGTAGGAAGCGGATAGCTTCGCTTATAGACTCCGTACTTATTCTACGATATATTACGTACATTTTTCACGCTTCAAAAACGCAAAGTTTATATGGATGGATGAATGTTTGTAGCTTAAACGGCTGAACAGATCTGGATGAAATTTAGCATGGATGTATAACACAGTCTGGAAGAATACATGGGCTACTTACTTTTGTTCTTCGTTTTTAATTCCACATGAGCGGTCGCGACCAAAAGCTAGTATTCAGATAATTTATGAGCCCTTGTTACTTAGCTGATAAATCTCACCTTTGGTAATTTCTCAGGGTCACCAGGATGCCTCGGTATCAATTTCTGTAGTCGCTGGAAACCGTAGTCGATGGTAGGCTCGTTGAGCGCTGCTAAGCGGAACAGGAAAACAAAATCAATCATTACGCGAACAACTCTAACGATATCTAATTGACGGATTGTGTTACGAATACGCCAATAGGATTACTTAGAAAACTCCAATGAGATTTTTGTATCAGAATTCATTTGATGTTATGTAATAAGACGGATGCTCATATATTCTTTTTCGATCAATCGTGAGTAGATTTGTTAGTGTTTTGTTTGAAATACAATAATGTTAACTTGATTACAATATTATATACATGAATATATTAGTATTCATATAAGTATTTCTAAATATTATATTTAAATCTCTAAAATTAAGTTTGTACGGGTGTTCCGACAATACAAACTCACGGTAAATTGTTTTAGTTGTAAAAAAAATCAAGTAATGTGCGCACCTCCACACAAGCTCATAGTAATTAAATCGGGACTAAACAGTTGTGCGATAGTTTCAGATGCGCGCATGCTCCTATCATAAATCTAATAGATTTACAATGTGTTATGCTTCTACTCACAAACATATACAAATCTGCCAGGCGCTCCCTTGCAGAACTGCTTGCTCTTGTATGACAGGGTCACCTCGACGACGCCGGGTATGTGACGCGGCGGTGTCTGCACTCGTATCGCGTGTGATGTTATTAACTGGGAAAAAAATGTTGTTAATTGTATAGGACCAAAAAGTAATCAACAACTTTATGTTATCAAATGTCTAATAAAAATTTAATTAACATTCGAATATAAGACATTTGTAGGTTTTAAAACTGTTTTGGTTCTTTAACTAGTAAGAATAAAATGGTATATTTACGGTAGAGAAGTATTATTTTCGTATTCTAGGAGTTAAGATTGAATTCAATTTAATCTGTTTACTTACCTCACTCCAAACTAACATTGTTCCGAACACAACTTGAAGGCCATCGAAAAAGTTGTCTCCTACTATAATGACAGTGGAGCCTCCAGAGGTCCAGCCCTCACTCGGTGATATCGCCTTGATGCACGGCGTCGCGACAGGCAAGGGTGGGTACAGACCTGCTGCGAGAAAAGACATCTATAAGAATGTACATTGTTAAAAAGAAGACGCCAATCCAATTGTGGATCTGTAATATCCGATGACGAAGAAATTTCCTAAGTTTCTACCGTTATGGATGAAAAAAGTCGACAGATTACGTAATATTAAAATAGCTATAAAGTCAAAACTTATAAAAAACCAACCAAGGCATTTAAATGATATTTATAGTTTGCAGCTTTTAAAATTATAATTCACAAAAATGTTAACTTAAAGACAACAAAGTTCCGACTCTGAAATAGATTTCAATTTTCCTCAATTTGACATTATCAAGAAAGTAACTTAAAACTCAATATGAAATGTTAAAAATAAATTTTACTGCAGTAAAAGCCTTGCTATAAAGTTCTTCATTTCAGACTACACACAAGTTAAAGGTAATTTTATAACTTAAAAACTTTAACAAACGAATCACTAAAACTAATTCCGTCCCGCTTGAACATTTATATTAGTAGCTTTCCAGAAAAAGGACAATTGTGGACCATAAAAGTTACAAAGCCCCATTACAAAGGGAAGAAGCGATCGACGATGATAATTGAAAATGAATTTTAATGTCAAACAATAAAGTTGGAGATAGCATCAACGTTTAACGGCTGTTATGACATTATCGAAGTGTTAGGTCGCGATGCAAGAAGGTTGTAGTGTGGGGGACACGCGCCAAGACAACGGGGGGAAGCTCAAATCTTGCGAACAAAACGACTCGGTAATAAAGACGAGAAAAGAAAGTGAATTTAAGGGGACGAAAGGAGATTACGCAGTCGGTTCCTTTTTAATTTGGCTAATAAAATATTTTTCGTCGTGTCCTTTAATAGAAATATTTTCTGGCGAAATAATATTTAATCTCATAAATTGGGTTCATGATATTATAAAGGCCGGCGAATATAAAAATATTATATTGTCTTTGAAATTGTTGTTGGACCTCATTCACAATTTGTACAGTACATTACAAGTTAAAAGACTGAAGTGGGCTTAGTAAAATAATATGACTATTCTATTCTGTATTTAGTATCTAAGATCAATTTATTCTCGAAATAAACTGGACTCATTCTCGTGTCCAACCATTTGAAAGGAATAATCTCACACTAAATTATCCCTTTTCTGTCCCTCCCCGCTAGCACCCCGGGCCACCCCCAGGGTGCGCGAATGTCTACAGTGATTCCTTGCATACAAACGACACCATATAACGGACTATTATGACTCTCAGACATTTGTTACCGATCGACTATAGCGTCACTCTGTGTAAAATGTAGCGTAAAATGTTTTATTTTATGTATTAGCAAGACATAAAATGGTGTATGTTTATGTTACACAGTTTATTCCTATTTTAACTAAACTTAAGGATCTATGTTTATCGAGTGATGGTCGATTCAAACTATGCATTAAAATCACTGATCAAAATCAAATGTTAGCGCATTTCGCATGTCTACTATTGGTATCACAAAGTCGTCAATAATGTGTTATATTAAACCGTGAACAGAAAAAAAAAACATCAAAAATAAGTTGGCGGCTTGCAAAATGTGATGGGAATAAAAATGGAAATAATAAAAAAATAAAACAAAACGTACAATGATTGTCTGGCGCGGCGTCAGTACCTTCAGACGGGTCTAGGCGCTTAGCGCGTCTGCCGTGCTTGCTGTTATTGTGCACGAACATGTTGTCTGATATCGCGAGCAGCGGACCGTCCACCATCACTTGAGTTGATATCACCACCTGCGAGATATATCAAAGTTAGATTTCAAATGCAAAACATACACACATTCCAATTAACTTCTGACATTTTTAACTCAGAGTCAGAACTATTCAGGTAAAAAAAAGTCAATTTAATTTGCACAAAATCATCAAATCGTTTTGTTTAAATTTACATCAATATCAAAATTACTACTCATAATGATTGCTTAGTTTATTTTAGTATAGCTGATTTCCATTTATGAAGTTCAAGATCAAGAAAAAAGTGAGTCAACGAAAATAAACCCCCGATACCGCACATAACCGCGACGTACTCTGACACAATGAGGGGTTACACACACATCCGTATAGGAAGGGAATCGAAAGGGAGAGTCTCTAGGGAGGGGCCAATGTCTCGGGACCGTATGAAATGGACGTAAGTCTTCCAATAGGTATGCAAGGAAATGCATTGAGTGTGTATGCATTTCGCATATTTTGACAAGTTTAAATAATGTTCCCGCTATTTTCTTTAATGGGTCTTTCTGTATTTCAAAATATCGAAGTGATAATAACCCTTTTTATTAACATTTGCGGCGATCAGAAGTATTTAGCCTTTTTAAATTCATTTTCTTTATGTTTTATTGTATCATAAACGGTGTTTAATTGTTTAAGAATTCACAGCAGTTTTGTAATTTTTTCAAGTTACTTTTTAAATATTTACAAAGTTTCTAAGGTGTAACTTAAATAATTTCAACTAACAAAGTGATAGAAATTATATTTACACTAGCACCGATAGTGCACTGCATAACTTCGATCCCAAAGAGCCACCACAAACGTGTGTTATATATTATACCCATATATTCTTACCCTTGAAACAGGGAACGACCACTGAATTATTCAATGACACACAGAAAGCCCAAATATAGACATAGCTTTACTCCGGCGGAAGTGTTTATAGAATTATATGCTATATGCATATGCATATAAGCACTATATTTGGTTAAAGTTTGTAATAGTACCACGTAAGACAAATATGTCTTAGCCAACTGTGGAAGCAAATTTGTACTCATAAGTAGACTTAAGTGTGACTGCACCTTTAATGTCAACCGCGTTAGGGTTGCCTCTAATTAATTTATGTAACTTTGTGAAAGTTTTGTTTAACTATGAAATACAGCGCGACATTACGTGTCTTCATTAGTTACTAAAGTATGTATTTAAAAGGTTTTTACAAAATTTATTAGAAGGTTAGGCTATTCGCCAGTAACAGCATTTTATTGTAGAAATTTTATCTAGTCGAAGTTAATTTATAAAGCGAAAATGCAGCGATTATGATTTTTTTTTGTATTATTTATACACTTAATCTTATCTAAATAAAAACTCAAAGTTTACTGAATCATTTTGGTTATTTTAAGATTTAGTTCTCGTGCATTTCCGATTCAAATTGTTTTCAACAGAATCTTTTGTAAAAATCAAACATTTATATCTGAAATCTAAAGAAATGTAAGCGAGTAAGTCTGTGTAAATAAATTTAATTTCATCCCTCTCTTAAATTGGAGGCGTTTCAAATATTCAAGAGTCGTGAACGCAACCCTTCTTCAGCAGGGGCGATACCACTGTCTGTGTGGTACAATTCATAAGATACAAAATCCTTTGTAAAGAAATTAAAACCCAATAAACTAATCAAACGACATGAATAAACACAAATTACGATTAATTCACTTTGTTGATATACTTTTTTTTAATTCTGTCTATCACATCTGTAGGTGAGTAATCCTTATGTCGTATACCTATTTCATTTTAAAAATCTCACATCAAGTTGATTCCTAAACTGTCCATATTTAAAAGATATATTTATATGGAATATCAAGCACAAGTCTACCGTTAGTATTTGCACAAATTGTTTTCGTACACTGATACCACGCAACTTTCCGCTACATCTTATGACTTACACTAGATCGGAAGCAGTATAGACGGAGCGTGCAAGCTGCAAGGTAATTTTTCCTCGACTCTAGTAAACAAGCGACCATTTACCTGTCGACAGCACGAATAATTACGGCCGGACCTTGAGATGAGATAGTTACTGCCGAAGCGTGTTCTCATCCCCGCTAAGAATTGTTTTGTTTTTATTTCAGTAACAAAATGTAATTCTGTTTTAATTTACGCAACGCTGGCGGGACTAGCAAGTCAATGACCTCTTAAGAGACGAAATTATCTATTGTAATCGTCGACGAGATGAAGGTATAAAATCGTCTTATTTAGTTTGTAGATGTGTGCGTAGCAACTTAACATATTATGTTTCTGCAATGACTATGTACTTTTCTATGTAAATTTTGCAACTGTTTAAACGGTTTAATTTTTTAAAAGACAGTCTAAACATCTGATATTTATTCTTTTCATTATTTTTCACATAAAATTGACGTCAAATGTTTAACACGTTTTCGTGGATTACAGGAGTAATATCGCACAGCAAGTAATAACAACTTAAAACTTTCAATGTTACTTCGAGGCTAGCATAATTACATTAGTAATGGCCACTTTCAAACTCTGTAATATTGTGAGAATATTTTTGAACAAAGTTTTTGTTTGTTAAATGTATACTTACTTGAAATCTTCTCATATCTCGAGGATTGCCGGCGTTTTTCAAACAATTCTGATTGCACTTCAGGAAGAATTTAAGAAAAAATCTGAAACAATGAAAAAAACATTTTATTATTATGGAACATAAGAAAGTAAATGATAATGTAGAAGATACCATTAACTAGTAAGCAGTTATATCTATCTGTATATATGAAAACGTATTTTTATAAGCTAAGCATACATTACTTTATTGTCTAGCATGGTTATAAGATAATAATAATAATGATTAAAATTAAATATTTGGATTTGGCTCACGAGATTACCGCCATGTGGCGTATGAAATCGACTACCATTATTCCGATAGTCGTTTCGGTACACGGGCTGATAGCGAAGAGCTTCGACCAACACCTCAAGAAGCTCTCGCTAGACAGTTGGATTAAGGGCCCGATTCAAAAGGCGGTTATTTTAGAAACCGCACGACTAGTGAGGAGGTTCCTGTCTCTGCAGCCCTGACCGCTGGTTGCTTGAGTCATCGGATTCCGCAGCCGGTGGTGCTCTATTTTTTATACAACATATTTTATTTTATTTTTGTAATCTTGTAAAATGTATTATATAGAGAGTAAGAAATAAAAATATATGGAATAGTAATAATGATTATAATTTATAAGAATATATTGCAACATTTTGGTTTAAGTAAATACATTATGATTATCATCTTTCTGCATTAGACTTTCATTCTTCATGGGTTGTTGAAATTTCCATTTAATTCATACTAGTGATTCATTAGTGTTAGATTGGCCAAAATTTCAATGGAGTAAAACTCAATTTACGTAGTTCGGAAACGCATTTCATGAAGTTATCGGATCAAAAACACTAATAAACGGTTAAATGTAGCTGCGAAACTGGCCATTAGTAGTGCATTTTTTGTTTTATTAGTGTTTACTCCCAAGTGATAAAATAAAACGCGATGTCTATTATTTATTTGTGGGCGAAACTCGTAACCCAAAGTTTGACATTAACGACAGCTGTTTCCACTTCAAAGGCCACGACATAAACAGAGGCAATAACGCATTAATTTGTTTCTCGTGTTCACTAATTTGTTCTTCCCACCTATCCGGACCGAATTTTTTGTTGTTCCGACTAGTGGAGGCAAATGCATGGGAATCTTGGAACCTTTTTGCCTGCAAATTTTTTGTAAATGCATAAACTACGAGCGTATAAATGTTGAAAACATGTACGTTTACGTTTACACAAATGAAACTATCAAACGTTGTTAATGTAACATTTTATAGTTACAATTATTGGTAGTTATTTCGAGAAATACTAATTATTTAGTCAAATTTCACATTTTCTATTGTATCAAACAATTTCCAGACTTGAAGTCTACAGACTATCAAATCGGCTATACAATCGCTGCTATTGTGTAAGATAACTGTGTTGTTCAATATTATCCCTTATTTTATATGACTTAAAGGTTATAGGGGTTGTAAAGATAAAGTTGTTGATGCGTAGCGCAGAGCGTGCGATCAGGCGGCCGATCACGATGAATGCTTTAGCAGAAATATTTTACATGGCCCCCGGCAAAGCCAGTGCCGCGCCGAATATTGTTGTGCCAACAGACGAGTATAAACACAGAGTGGATAATATCCAATAGCCAAGTCTATTATACTGTTTAATAATTTATTTATGTAATATATCGTACTGTCTAAAGATAAAGTACAAGTTTTTTCGTCTTGACAAAATGTAATCAATAAAACTCTCCTAGTAGGAACTAAGTAATCCAGACATACACTTTATGTTTTATTTCATGTTGAATTGCTCAATGAACAAATTAATTTAGACAATTAAAGTCATAATCCGATTGAACCTCCTATCGCTATTGTTGATTGTGATATTTGTAATGTTAATAGGAATTTTTCTGATAAGATTTTATGAATTAAAAGTAAATTTACAGCTCTAAAAATTTACAATACGAATGTATTGTAGGAGGCGCATAGCTCGAACGTATTCGAGGTCTGGGCGCCCGCGGCATCGCACATCTGTTCCCGCATTATTTATGTTAAACACCTTATGTCACAATATCGCGAGTTAGGAGTTTACGCGGCTGTCAAGCGACACCGAGCCTCGCTGAGCTATGAATGGAGATTTTATTTTAGTCACAGCCGTAGACAAAAATGTAGCCAAATGATGTTTGGTTTATCATTTGCGATGTAGTCAATACATGAGATTTAAAAATAGAACAGACACATGATTTTTTTGTTAAAGCCTCTAAGATATTCTTTTCCACATACTCATTTATGAATAAAGAACGGAAACAACTTTTTTTTTCCCCACTACCGCATCAATTCAGCCCGTGATCATGGTGCATGCAACTGTGCCGAAATATTGAGAGCTCAAACAACACAACAATGGTAAGAAACCCGTGTTTTACATTATCCTTGTAAAAACTACGAAAGTTTAAAGTTTATACGTCTATCTTACAATCTCATGTCAAATAAAAATTCATATTAACACACACACCAAGTTCTCAACATTTAACTTGTGAATCTCAGTGACATTCACAATGGAGCTCAAGACCCGACAGGCGTTAATTTATCTGAGCAGCGACGCGATTTACGATTCCGAATGATGCCTTACGATCGCTGAGTGCTGTCGGTAATAACTCTGATGGTTTAATAGCTCGCTCACATTCATTAACAACACATTCGATTTTATTTGCACGATCTTGTTAATGCGTGTTACATGTCTAATGCTTTTCCGTTTATCTCACTAGACGGAATCAAAATAATTCGATCATTTGACACTAAATAAATAAAATGACAAGATTTTTCAAATATGCCTTGGAAATTTACATATTTATTTTATAAGGATACTAGCTTTCGCCCGCGACTCCGTCTGCGCGGAGTTCTAAAAAACAAAAGTTAGCAGCGTATATGTTCTTCCAGACTATCCTCTACGTCTATGCCAAATTTCATCGAGATCCGTTCAGCCGTTTAGGTTACAAACTCTAACAAACACCGGTCCATCCATGCATCCATCTAAACTTTCGCATTTATAATATTAGTAAGGGTAAGATTAGTAACATAGTAAGATTAGTTGGATTAGTAAGATGTAGTGATATTACTTAGCTGGTTATCAGATAATAAAAGCAGATATGCTTACAAATAGGACCACGGTGATTTATATTTTTCGTAGTGTTCACTTCGCAAAGCATTAATTATTCGGTGAAATTAAAAAAAATATCTAGTCAATGTATCACTATTTAGCTCGCAAAATAAACAAAACAACATTTTTTAAACATTATTTTGTTTTTTTAAAAGGCATTGCGAAAACAGAACAAACTCTAGTTTTTTGAAGTAAAAATCAAACCAAATCCAATAAAAACAAACCTACTAGGAATATTTACCTATCGCATCACGAACAGAAAGGAAACTGTATTTTCGCCGTAAAAACTACCCCCGCTTTTCATCCCTTGCCCACGTATATAATACAGCCCCCGTTCGGTAGGGCTTATCAATAGATTTCGTATAGTACATGAAAAGCAACATGCTTTCAGCCATCCTGGAAATTATTTCAATCGATGTAAGTTCTAATATAAAACGTTAGATGTGCAAAGTTACAAATAGTAGGTAGATAAGAGATTAAATAATTATTGCCATTTACAACTTTCAATATAAATATGAAACGAAACATTTAGGAGAGTTAAAGTTGATGCAAAAATCGATCAGAGCTTAAAAAGTGTTAAGTTGATCAAAATCTACATAAACAAATAACTAACGGAATGTTAGTTGAGTTGTTACATTAATTTGTTTTTAAGATATACTTATGAAAGAGAAAAGATATGTACTGTATGCAATAAATTATTACAGCTTAAATAAAAACTCATTTTAGTTATCCTAGATTTGAATGGAAGAAGTAATTTCCAACTAAGCTAAATCATATCAACCGATATTGCTAGCATTACACGAAGAACATTGTTAATAAAAACTTATTCGGTCCATTCATACTTTTATTTCAGGCCAGTTTCGCAAATGCCGCACTATGGGATGAAAAAAATCTACTACGGCATTAAGTCGGCGGGAGGCGCGCCCTCTCAAGGAACACTTGAGCTCCCCCCATCCCTCCTCCACACTACCGCCCTCTATACTAGTTATGTTTATTTGCATCGAATGTTCTTTCAAACTTGTTTCTAAAAACGCAACACATTCATGGCCTGGTTGAAACTTTAAAAACGCTTTTAGAGTCCCATTGACATGGTAAGAAAGATGTGAAAAAAATTTAAAAATGTAAACAAAGCAACAACGAATTCATTAATTTAGTCGCTTTATATAAATGCATTTATCGCGTTTTGTGTTTGTACTAGTATATAAATCTTATATTTAAAACAACAGCTTATAATCAAATTAAATTTTTCATTAATTAGATGTACTGATCTAAAACATAAAAATTAACGTATGCCGCAGAAAAAATACTACTATCAGCTTGGTGCAGTTTGTCAAGTGTGAAAAAATTACTTGATAAAACAAGCGCTGAAAATTTAAGTAAATTAAATTATTAATAAGATAGAGGTTCATATTAACGACGTGATATTTTACGGACATTATTTAAACTATGAAAATAATTAAAATTGCTAACCAGTCAAACACATACTATAGTCCTCGAGCTAGAAACCGCATTCGTGAAATCGAACGCGCAGTAAGAACGCGAGTACTGACAACAAGCGGTCTCTTATAACTTTTCCCTTTTAACCTTTGGTTCCCCTCCCCCCGGCTCCCCATGCCGGTGGCCCGGTCGCCCGCTCCCTCGGGAGGCGGTCCCCAGGGCCGGCGCGAGTCCCCGCGCACGCCGCCCCGCCTGCCACCACTCAATACCGACACGCCATGCGGACGCCAAAGATTAAGTACGCGTAAGATTGATGAAAACTATCTACTACAGTTAATACCTAAGATATAGATGACCATAACTAAAATATGTCCGGTTATTTTACAAAAGAAATTAATAAACATTCCTCCAGGTATATTTACAAAGGAAATGAACATAAAGAAACAATTTTTTTATTAAGAGAATTGACAGTTTTCATGATATTAATCGTATTTGCTACTTAAAC